AGTGAAGTAGAAACAGGAGTGGAGCTCTGCTGCATGCCACAACATGGATGACTCTTGAAAAGATTTTCCTGGGGAAAATCTTTCCAAATACAATGCCTACACAGTGTGGTTCCCTTTATATGAAGTATGCAGAATGGACAAATAGAAAGTGAGTCGCAGTTGCCAGTGCCCAGGAAAGAGAGAGTGCAGAGAGTGCTGCTCGTGGACGTGAAGTGGTTTTTGTTTTTGGTTTATGAGACAGGGTCTCCCTATAGCCCCAGCTGTCCTGGAACTCACTATGTAGACCAGGCTGGCCTCAATCTCACAAAGATCTGCCTGCCTCTGCTGGGATTAAAAGTGTGTACTACCGTGCCCGCCCATAACATGAAGTATATTTGTGTGGTAGTGAAAAATCCTCTGGCATTAGATAGTGGTAATGAATTTATAGTTCTGTGAACATACTGAAATCCACTGAATTGCACAGTTCAAAAAGTTAATTGTATCTAAATAAATAGTAAAAACAGATGATGTTTCTAAAGGTTATTATTTTCTAAATGCCATTAAGAAATCAAAAAACATAATGGAAAGAATAAATGCGTGACCAAATTTTTAACATTTTTGAAGGGGAATAATAGTATTAGACAAGATATAGAAGCACCTGATCTAGGGTCTAGATAACTCAACATTCAGAGATATCACAGGGACATAAAAAGACACAATTTAAAGTCTAGAGCTGTCAGCACCTGCATCAGGAAAGTACACTATATAGAGATAGCCGTCCTCAGAGGAAAGTGTAGGTTAGCCATCAAGTGGTGGTTCAGGACCTCGCTGACTTTTATCAAGTGGCAGATAAACATTACAGAAAGTAATCCTGGAAAGTTTCAGCAGAAAAAAACTTCCAGGAACAACACTGGGTAGTTCAGCATAGGTAGAGCCAAGGTCAGAAGGTGAAGGAGCCAGAGGATGCGGAGGAGCTGGGGGCACTGCCTCCCTGTGCCATGGGAACAGGCCAGTTGGATGCTCCATTCTGCCATCACTCCTCAGGTCTCTGGACCCATTGCTGTCACCGTCTCTGTCACTTCCTCCATTCGACAGGACTGAAAAGTCCACAGCAGAATGGATGCAGGGCAGCTCATGGGCCTGCATCATGAGTGTGGAGGTGGGCCACACTCCACACCCCTCCTCCACTTTCAGCTGCTGGGTGGAAGGCAGGGTCCTATAGCATCAGGTAAGAAAGTGTCCAAATGCAAGTCAAACCTGACAGGTTTCTGCTAACATTTGGAATGACTAAAATTGGAACCATACTTTCTATCATAGATCAAAATAAATTCCACATGGATTCAGAATTTAAATGTAAAACTCAAGATCATGAAAGCACTTACAGATACTATACATGAATATTTATGGGATCTTGGTTTAGGGAAGTTGCTAAGCGTGATATAAAAAAAAGCAGAATGTCATTACCATATTGGCAGAGTATTAAATGATCCAGAAAAGGACTCATGGCCTGTTAAAAGTACCACAATAAAAATAGGTATGACTACATTTTAAAAGTACTATCACATTTTTGATAAAAATAAATAAATGTACAATCCCCTCTTTAAAAAATCAAACTGGCATACACAGGCCTTACTTCTTTTTTTTAATTTTTAATAACTACATGATTAGAAGCAGCATTTCATTACAGCTTTAACATATTCAGTAACACATCCCAGAGCAAGAGTACATCTCTTTCACAAGTGGGTGTAAGTTTCTAGGTTCACAGTTGAATTAATACAGTTATACAATATTGAACTCAGTATAAGCCCTGTAAGACATAAAATTGAGTTTTAACCTTTAAAAAAGATCTCCATTTCATTTTAGAATATATTGTTCCTTGCAGAAAGACTCATTGTTTTTGCTATTAACACTGAGATGTTGGTGCGTGCATCTCTAATCTGTATGTATCTGATTACTACTAGTCATAATCGGTTGCTCTTGGATCCTTGGTGCCTGTGTATGTCTATAAAGTCATCTGGTAGATTTCAATGGTAATGTTTATCACCTCTGCTAATTAACGTGATGTAAATTTCCATGATTCCTCCTCAAATATAATACATTTTTTAAATTTGTTGATTTTTGTGGGGGGGGGGTATATCACACAGAACATCCCAAACCATCTTACTCAACTATACACCCACTTCCCAGAGGGCACCCTCCCATAGCCTCCCTAGAGCCCTTATACTCTGATATCCCTGCTACTGTCTGCTGTGTTGTCGGCACCCCCAGCCATTCCCCACTACTTGTCCATCTGGTGAATCTAGTCAGCCTATCTAGAGGTCTTTGTTTTACGAAGGTCAGCTGTTCCTCATCTAGCAGCAATCAGTTGTCAATATTCCTTTAGATAAGATTGGGGTCTGCTGTTCATTTTCCCAGTTCTACGCTGGGTTACTATCTGGGAGTCCTTTTGGCCACCCTGGCCAACAACTCTAAAGAAGGTATCTCCTATCTAACATTGTTGCTTGTTATGTAGCCTTTAGCTATACATATGGGCTCTTAAAAAATTATATTGGCCCCTTTAATCTTTGGTTATACTTTACTTTTGGGTATTTAAGGCCATACAGTTGGTTCAGATAAACTAATTTATTTTTACTCTTAAGGTCATTTGAG